ATGTATGTATGTATGTATGTATGTATGTATGTATGTATGTATGTATGTATAGATGTATAGATGTATGGTTGCATGTATGTATGTATGTCGGATCCTAAATAGTCAAGTGGGAGGGAATAATAAAATTGGTCGCCAAATTATTCCAACACCCTGAATAGTTTAGTGGGAAGGACTACTGAAAAGTCTTTTCATTCAGGGTGTTTTTGTTGCGGGTGTTGTTTACGTTTCTATTATTCTGCTATTGCTCCCCTTTAACACCCGTCCTTAACTCTTCTAAGGTTTGCTTGAGTCATCAACGTCTGGCCTGGAAATCGTTTTCAAACACGCTTATTAAAACTCAACGATTTCATTGCTCCAAACAATGTTTCAACTGGGCAGTACACCAGCCCAGGGGAAGTGAATAATATCAATTGTTTAGGCGGTGGGATGAATAAGCAAACTTGGAGCCTAAGGGAAAAATAACTTTGATTTTGTTCAGCTATTGCTTCCCTTTCAAATCCTTCCTTAACTCTTCTGAGGTTTGCTTGATTCATGGAAATCTTTTTCAAACACGCTTATTAAAACCCCACGATTTCATTGCTCCAAACAATTTTTAAACTGGGTAGTACACCAGCCCAGGGGAAGTGAGCAAACTTGGAGCCCTAAGGTACAAACTAACTTTATTATTGTTCTGCAATTGCTTCCCTTTCAAAACTTCCTTAACTCTTCTACTACTACGACTACAAGTACTACTTGTACTACTACTGCCACTACTGCTCGTACTAGTACAAGTACTAGTACTAGAACTGGAACTAGAACTAGAACTGAAACTACTACTACTACTACTACTACTACTACTACTACAACTACCACTACCACTACCACTACCACTACGACTTCTACTACCACTACTACTTCTACTACCACTACTACTACTACCACTACTACTACTACCACTACTACTACTACTACCACTACTACTACCACTAGTACTAGTACTAGTACTAGTACTACTACTACTACTACTACTACTACTACTACTACTACTACTACTACTACTACTACTACTACTACTGACTACTGACTACTGACTACTGACTGCTGACTGCTGACTGCTGACGGCTAACGGCTAACGGCTAACGGCTAACGGCTGACGGCTGACGGCTGACTGCTACTGCTACTACTACTCCTGCTGCTGCAGCTGCTGCTGCTGCTGCTACTGCTACTGCTACTGCTCCGAACACTACCAATCGTTATTGTGGCGGGGATTCTATTCATACTCCCTGGATTGTTTGCTAGGGGGAGCGTTTTACTAATTAAGATCCAACATTATGTATGTATGTTTGTATGTCTGTATGTACACCGGGGAAAAGTTGTTGGCGCAACTCCAAAAATACAATAGCGGGAACAGCCGCACCATGTATCTCTTTTTTCTCGCTATTCGGCAATCATAGATAGATGGCGCAACTACTATTTGGAGTGCAGAACATTAAATTTCTGCAGGAGACCTGCGCGGATCCGGATACCAGTGTTAATTTCTTTTGATTCTCTTTAAGTTCCTTTTGAGTTCCTTCTGATTCTTTTTGCTTTCCTTTTGAATCCAATTGATGTCCTCTTGATTCCTTTTAGATGTCTTTTTGAGTCCTTTTAAGTTCCTTTCGATGTCCTTTTGTTTTCCTTTTGATTCCATTTAATTTCCGGTTGCTTCCTTTTGATTTCCTCTTGATGTCCCTATAAACATTTGATTTACTTTAATGTCCTTTTGATTCCTTTTAGTTCCTTTTTGATATCCTTCCGATTCCTTTTGATTTCCTTTTGAATCATTCCTTTCGATTTCCACTTGCTTCCGTTTAATTTCATATTGATGTCCTTCTGATTCCTTTTGATTTCCTTTTGAATCCTATTAATTTCCTGTTGAATCCTTTTGATTTCCTCTTACGGAGGCCCACAAGATGGAGCGGTCCCAATCTCCGCTATTTTCTGCAAGGTTAGGCGCAGAATCATGGAAAACCTTCCCTGTTCTTTTAGCCACTACCCCTGGTTCCTAAACCTGGCGCAATAAAAAGGGTTACCACATCGAGTATGTATGTATGTCTGTTCTGTTCAGTTCTGTTCAGTTCAGTTCTGTTATGTTCTGTTATGTATGTTTTCCGTCCAATATGTCCACAGTTGCCTGGGACCAAACCAAAGGGTCACTTCATCGCTCTCAAATCTTCCGGGCGACCCGGGGAGAAGCCAGCATGTTGCAGGGCTCCTGAACCTGAGCCAACAAATCAACACACCAAAAAACACAGATGTTCCTGAAGCCTAGAGATGCAGTAGATTCTCACGCAGTAGCTATAAAATTAGGCAGTCCTCTCTGGTTCATGGTGATCTGTCCTTTCTTAATGGATCTTGGGTGGTTGGCAACCGTGGTGAAGAACGCAACCGAAAGTGCACCGGGAGTGCGCTTCCAAAAACGTTCAAAGCAGATACAAACCTCTGGACACCATAGATTTTGACTGTCTCTGCGATGCTTCTTGGGATTCCTATGCTACAACCGCCTGAAACATGGGTGTCCCAGGTTGTTCTTGCATTCTTGCTTTATGGAAGAGGATAGCTTCAGTAAGATTCAGGATGGCGGTGGAGAGTAGCAGCAGCGCCCTGTAAGTGTCCAAAGCCAGCATCAATGTGAAAGCATGGATGTTGTAGATCTAATTATATATATATTTATTTATGTTACATATAGATCTTGCCCAATCCTCACCTGTTTCATCAAGTTCAATCCAACAAGCTTGGCGTCCTGCTGAAGAGGTGCAAGGTCCCTCCTCAAGAAATGATGAAAAGTGGCAGTGGCCCAGTCAGATCACCCGAGCACCCCGTGCACTGAAAAGTCAGGTTACCCCATGCCTATGACCGGCATTGTCGTCCAATTCACAGCACACATACGTGCGACTCAGCTAGTTTTCTTCCGGTGAGGGGCGACTCTTGCCACGAGCACTGACAAATCACTCAATATCACATGCACGGCAATCCGTGCCTACTGTACCTGTTGCAATTCCGTCAGGCAGTTTAGTAAGGGCACTGGTGCAGCCCACAGGTCCAATACAAAACACTGTCCAAGGCTTTGAGGCTTCACTCGACGTGGAGGCACTTGAGCACTTGAGCATGGTGTTACATGATTTGAACAAACAAACACACATCTTGCATCATCTTGCATGTGTTTTGTTTAGGCGTCCATTGATCTGGTATTCTTGTTAAGACCATAGCACTTGTTGCACACACTCAACCAACCAATCGAGAGCTCCTGGCATATCTGATTGAACATCCTCCTGGCTTACAGGTCTCGCGACCTTGGCAGCATCGGCTTCACCCAATCCGAGAACAACGGCAATCCTGCTCATAGGTGAAGAACCTCAACTCACGTGGCTTAAAGTTAGTTGGAACAGTTTCACCAGAGAAGGAGTTCTCAGAAAACAAAGCAGTGTGTAGAAATTGTTGTCGCAATGAAACGCTGAACAGAAAGCCACTTAAGGCTCAATTAGAAACCATGTCAGAAACCCAGTGGAAACCCACTGACTTTAAGAACCATCAGCCCCAAACGATGTCGAACGGCTCACTCCAAGAGCGGCACGCTGTTCAGAGCTTGTTGATGATCTCCCAAATGCCACTGAACCTGAGCGTCCGATATTCTACAGTAAATGGTGTCGCAGTGCCCGCGCACAAAACTCCCATCTATCATCACAGGCTTACATACACTCTGCAACTTGCATCAACCACTGCCTCATCCAATGTCTTCCACAATCGTCCATCTGGTTGCGCCAATCTCAGATCGCTGCTAATGATGCTAGCCACGGGTCTTGTGCTCGCTTGGCAACTGGGAGAAGGTCGTCCGTCAGTACCTGTCCCAAGCCAGGCTGCCTTCATCTAGACGACTGACATCCAGCCAAATGCATCCAAACGTTTTGCAAACTGAACTTCGTCAGACTACCCCGAGTCTTCTTACTATAATGGTCACAACCCCTGTCTCCATACTTCAATGTTGTTTAAAACATATTTGCTTCATGTTGCATCCCCAAACCCAGAAGCATCCGGAAAACCCCGTCGTACTTCGCGATCTTCCAGGTGCCCCGGACTCGTCGGAGCTCTTCCGCCACTTGGTCGGCTTGGTCGCCCAGCGACGAGTGAGCAATGAACCTGGCTGCCGATGCGGCCATCCGTGTTTCATGGATTTCATATGGTTTCATATGATTTCATGGTGTTTCAATGAGATTCAGCTCAGCTGCAAAGCCAATGACCAGTCATCCATGTAGCGGACGCAAACCTAAGTGAGGCGAGACCAACAGCCATCATCTTTGGAGACTTCTCTCACTTCCGGCACCAGGCGTCTCAAAGCTGTGTAGCCAAATCTGATCCTGTTTTTCTCATTTCGGAGAGTCTCACATCTGATCTTTCGTTCGGAGTTTCTATGGGGAGTCTCGGTTGAGGGCGCAACCGAGACTAAAAACCACACGTCAGCAATACAACGTCCTTTTCAAGCCACACACGGTCCTGTGCAGTACCGTGGCCCTTTGACCACGAGGATCTGTTCGCTTCGGTTGCCAAAAAAACGAATGCCAAACTCTCTGCAAGATCGACAGAACTCAAAACGCAAAGCATCGGCTTCCAGCGCTGGCACTGTCACCATGCTTTTGGGCCAAACAGTAGAGCTCGCATGATAACCAGGAGAGAAAACGAAGGAGCTTTGCAGCATTTTACAGCCCCAATACACCTGAACAATCCTGAACAGGTGGAAGGAGTGAGAGTGTCTGTGTACAAGCGCGGTTCGGCGGCTGACGCCAACGCGGCCGAGATCAGCGCGGCAGCTGCGGCAGCTGAGACCGAGCGCGCGGCGGAACCGACTTTTCTAAAGCCTTTCCTCAAGTGTAGCAACTCATAGCAACTCCATCGACAGAGCTGGTGGTGTACATCTCCCACTGCAGTATCAAGTTGGGTCGAGGTACTCATGAAGAGCAAAGATTTCAATTCTTGACTTCAATAAATTTCAAGAATCTCCAAAGTCAAAACAGCCAAAACCATCCAAGACTTGCCTGCTCCTCCAAGGGGTCAATCGGGTCGACCAAAAAACATGACTCTCCAGGTGCGAAAAGCCCCTCAGGATGTCAGAAAGGATGTCTGAGGTCTGTAAGTTGGACACATCATCATCTCAGGTTTAATGTGTCTTGAAGCTCGGCTGTCTCCTCTTTGCTTTCTCCGCCTCCGCACCTTGTGAGGCATGCCAGAGGCAAAGGGCCGAAATGGTGTCTGTAGATGTTTGTAGGGGTTCATGAAGCGTGCCAGGCCCCAGGTGCTTTGGTGAGTGACAAACGAATGTCAAGTGAGAGATGAACAGCCCTCTTGGAATGGTTTCAAGATCTCCTGTTCCCAGCGTAAACCCGTTTAATGTTACCAAATGTTGCCAGAAGAGAGTGCAAAAGTGTGCAGATGCCTAATGTTCAAAAAAAGAACTTCGCTCTCCAACCTCGTCTCTTGGTCACTGCGCTCAACCTCGTCCGCCTCTGAGTCCAATGGTGGAAGCGAAGCCAACAAAGACACGGTGGATTCGTGGCCGTGAGCAGCAGCTACATCTACCGGTAGCCATCCAGCACCATCCCTGGCACAAAATGACTATGAAGAAAACCTGGTGAATCAGGAAGTGACAGCCGAAGCCGATGTGCCTGGCAAACAAGGTCTCCGGCGCAAGGAGTAAAAGGCATCGAAGTATTGAGTCCTGCCCGCGGTTTTGGCGCAGGGTAACAAGAAGCTATTAGAAACAATAAGCTAGTAGGAACAAGTGCATCGCTTCTAGGAACAAGTGCCTTACTAGTAGTAACAAGAAGCTATTAGAAACAAGTGCCTTACTACTAGTAACAATAAGAATTCAATTAGAATTGTAATTACTAGCAAAGGTTCTGATTCTGGTCTTCTGTAACTTCAGAGTTGGTGCGACTGGAGGCAGTCTGGGTGTCCTTCCTTCCTTCCATTTCCTTTCCTTTCCTTTCCCTTCCCTTTCCCTTCCCTTCCCTCTCCTTTCCTTTCCTCCTGCCTAGCTTTCTAAACGGCACTCCACTTGGGAACTGCATGTTTCTCCGCAGTTCACAAAGCTCCAAGGATTATGCATGTTGGCGGAGCGCCTGATTTGTCCCCTCGCTTCAGTGGGAGTGTGGGATGTACGGGTCACGTCAAATCCATCGATGAGTCGAGGTTTCTTCGCCACGCAGGCCTCTCCTGCCCCGCATCTGCCGCCTCATGTGCCAATGTGTGCCCCTGCTTGTCGCGTGCCCGAAGCGTCTCTGGAACCAGCTGATGCAGCAGGAGCCTTAGCCGTCAAACTCGAATCAGCGGTGGAGATCAATGAGTTGACTGAATCGATTGATAGGTGAACAAACTATGCAAATGCACTGCAAAACTTAAGACTTATATGAATCTTGAGAATGATGCTCTTGCCACACCCTCTGTAAGTGTTGCCCGCCTGACCTAACAACCCCTCCAATACTATATACTGTAGTATAATTTGGATCAGCAAAAGAATCTCAAGGGGGGGAACTCCGTCAAATCCTGCCGAACTACACGGACATGATTTGCTCTTGGGCGCATGCTCGAGTCGCCCCAAGAGAATCTGAGGGCAACTGCATCCAAAACGACTCTAGACTCTAGATCCATCGAGTTTAGGCTTCGAAAAGCTGGCGAATCTTTGCCGAATTTGCCGATAACGACCGCTCCAGCCCTTTCATCCCTAGCCACAAGGTCTCAACCTGACCTCCAAATGCCGCGTCGTGCGCGGGCGTGGCACCTGGCAGGAGGCGTCGCGGCGTCATTTCACCAGATCAAATACCGGCAAGTTGTTATCCCAAGAGTGTACATTGATTCAATGTACCAACCATCGACATGCTTTCAATATCTTTCACTTCTACTCTGCTGTTGAAGGAACTCAACCATTTTGCATTTCTCTGTTGAACAAGACCAGGATCGCCTATATTGGACTTGGCCCGCAAGGTGCTTGGTGCCAACTCATGAAGGAGCTGCAGGATGGCAAGTTGACCTCGGGGATGTGGTGATCGAACAGGCGTTGGTGTTGCCCAAACCACCCGAGGCGTGTAACTTGCAAACCTTCACGAGGCGTGGATCTGCACCTGATCCACGGAAAGAATGGTTGGGCACTTTTGTGGGAGGGTTCCCCTCACCGTAATCCATTGAGCCCGACACCCCATGGATTTGATCTACTCCACCTTGCAGTGATTCAGCTGGAGCGCCCTGAAACGCAGCGTCATGTGCTGGAGTGGCACCATTCCTTGCTTTGGCACGAAGCGTGTCAGGTACGAGGCCCTGCAAGAGCTCCAGAATAGCAACCTGCAAAACATTCATCTGGCTGTTCAGCTGTTCGAGCATGGAAGGATATCTTCCTGTTCGTGCCATGACAAAAAAATTGCAAAGACAATGTTGGTGGAAGTCTTCAAATCAGAGCTTCTGAGCTTCCAGGATCAAAACAAAAACCACCAGTCGTCCAAGTCTTTACGACCGCAGTCGCCCACCAAATCTCCAGTCTCAGCAGCTCTTGAGGCCAGAAACCATCGCGGGTCGGAAAGCGAGTGTCACGAGTGTCACCCGACAGGAATCAAAACCGCAAGTCGGTTGACGTGTCAGACATGCTGTGAGAAGTCTTAGAAAGCAGTCAAATGACTTTTCAAATTCCAGTAGCCAGTAGTAGATCACAATTCTCCAACCTCAGACCTCAGGTGACTCAATCCTAAGGTGTTTTCTCCAGAGCTCCAGAGCCTGCCCGCTCAGGGCGGCCCAATGTGCAGGGCATCGTCCATCCATCGCCGGGCGTCGTAAGCTCTCGGGGTCCTGGTGAAGCGCGCACGCTCACGGATCCGTGGCCATGGGCGGTTGGATGTGGATCATGTGGATCCATCCGTTCGAGATCTCCAAGAAAGGAGGCGAGATGACCGGCGAAGAAAAGGCCTTTCGGAAAGGGAAACTGGAATGGCTCTTGAAAGAACTCGAATGACAAGACCCGCAAAACGGTGGCAAATGCTCTATCAAGAATCTCCCAATTGCTCATCCCCTTTAGTATCCTTTAGTGAAGCTAGGGTCACGCATGGACACTTTATGGACTGTTTTCATTCGTTTTCTCTGGTACGGTATGTCATCTGTTTTTGGATTTCTGGGCACATACCTAGATACATACCACTGTTTTAGAGGCCTTCGAAAGTTCAGTTTACATGTAGTATCGAGCCAATGGCTTTTGGCAGATACGACATAATTAATTACCAATTCTCTAGTGTAAAGTACAATGAACACCCAAAAAATATACATGTTCTCAGATTTCTCGGGCTTCAGGGGGTGCGAAAATGTAACTTCCAACGTGGGAGGTCTGATGTTGGGTGGGGAAGGAAAGTAAAGAAATGGGAAGCAACTGACTCACCGACTCACCCGGTTCAGTCCAGCTCATACAGCAGCCGAAGTGCTTCCTCTTTCCCCTGCTGAGCGGCCACATGTGCTGCCCCCCGACAGGAGGCTAAGGCACCGCGAGGGGCAGCCATGGACTACAAGCTACAAGGACTTGTCTCACGGAGGGAACACACCTGCAACTACTCTAGGAGCAAGGACGCTACTAGGGGCTCCTGGCTTCGCTACTAGGAGCAAGGACGCTACTAGGGGCTCCTGGCCTTACTACTAAGCAAGGATGCTACTAACATCTTGGGAACTACTACTCACATGCAGCCTGACGACGCTTTATAATCAGTGAAATCCTCTCTGCAAGAGGTTGAAGGTGGAGGACTGCCGTCAAAATGAAGCAGTGGCCATTCAGTGGCCCTCAAACTCAAGGTCATGTGGGCCCCAAACGGCCCTCAGGTTACGCTTGAGCCGGGAAATCAGAGGCTTCGGTGCCTACTAATGCTTCTTTGCTTTGCATCAATGAGAATTTGGATTCTCATTCACAAAGAAATCCCAAAGAAAGCAAAGCCATCCATACTTCAGTTTCCAATAATTAATCAGATCCTCCCTTCAAAAGACCTCCTCGGTGTTCCGACATCGATGGCATCCTTGGCCCGCTGGGCGAAGATGAAGAAAGCGCAGCCCAACTCGAAGCGCCGCTGCCGCACCTCGGAACGAGAAACCGGTAGGCCGCGGTAGTAGAGGTGAGGTAGGTTAGCTAGGTAGGTAGCTAGTAACTAGTAGCAAACGGTCGCTAGTACCTTACTTAAGCTACATATGGACGCAGGATAGCTCACGCTTCTTCAAGGAAGCTCCCCCCGCTGCCCTGAAGGCCGTGAACAAAATCATTCTAATCTGTGGCAGATCTTGTGATGTTCAGGAAAGGAGAGTAAAAGCAATAAAAACCATCATGTCTTGCGCTAGTGTGACTAAGCCGATGTTCACCCGCTAGAAATTTGTTCTATTTCCCACTATATAGTAGTATGAACCAGCGGCAGATTTGGAGGAGTCGCACTGTTCGCACATTCACGATGATCAGAAAGGGCATGAATCTACTAGTAGCAATAACTTCAGCCACCGCTGAGTCAGGCATGGGACTTGAACTGATCTCACTGATGCCTGGGGCAATGACTAGCTCGAAAGCATTCTTCTCTGCCTCCAAACGAATCTCAATCCCTCCAGGTACCCCGGAGCCTCACAACTGACATGGTAACCACTTGCAGCCGGTTGGAAGTGCAAAGCTAGACTCTGCATTCTATGGCCTATGCATATGTATAGTGCTATATGTCATCTTCTTAAGAATTCAAGTCGTCTATGGTGTCTTGTGACCGCTCGCTTCCGCGCACGACCAGCTGGCCTTTGTTCTCCAAGGCTCTTCGGATAAATCATTCGACAAGAAGTCGGCCACACGGGTCTGCTTGCTCTGTCGATAAAGCCTTAGCAGTAACCAGCGAACCCAGAGCTTCTCGTGAGCCCCCTCGGCCAGTTGAGAAACCACCAAGGAGGTCTAGTCTTGGCCATGGCGGCCATGGGCCGTTGTCAAGAATCCTAAAGCTCTGATGGTGCGATTGCTGGTAGACATATCAAATTCTGCACCTGATAGCAGTCGGAAACTCAACACCAAGCGCAATGAAGGGTAGCTTTGAATCGCATACACTCTGTCAAAGCAAATGTAGAGTTCCAAAAGACAATTTGCAGACCATACTATCTCATACTGTTCCAGTTCTTGGTATGTTGGCATTGGTGTGATAAGATAGGTGATATTCTATGTCATTTTTTGCAACATTTTGCAACCAAGAAGAGCAATGCTTGATAGCTGACATCACAAGTGCGCGCACCAAGTTTTGTCCCTCAAAAGAGGCTGGACACCAAGGTATCAGGGCAATAAAAAGGCGTGTCACAAGATTTGAAGCGAATAAATGCAGATCTGGTGGAAGTGCAAATTTGAGAATTTGAGACATTGGCAGCTGAACTCAATGCTTTGATCACGAATTCGAGTTGCCCCGTCCCTTTGATTGTCCATTTCGGCAGGCATTGGCCGCCCTCTGCCGCCCTCTACATGCGAATTAGATGCCTTCAAACTCTCGAATGTTCCACTAATGACTAAGAACTGGAGCCCATGCCCCATGCTTGGTGGATGTTGGATTCTTTTGGACCTGGAAACGAACATTCGACGGCACCACCCAAAATTGCCGGCCGTCGGCGATGTTTTGGCGGGATCTTCTTTCGTTCAACTGTAACTGGTCACAGGCGCCTCGACAACTCTGCGCAAGGGTCAGTTGTCCGGACGAAATGTCAAGATACAAGCACATTCAGAACAATTGCTGAAGCGCTATAGCCGCTACGTAATCTCTGTCGGCTGAAGACCCCAATGACCCCAGAACGAACCGGTTTGTTCGTAAGTCCGTATGACTCCGTGATCCGCACTTTTCTGCTATGTACCTCTAGTGGCAACTAACTGTGGACCAGTGAAGGAATTACCTACAAATTTCATCACTGCGAAGGCATGTGAGAAGAAGAGTAGGGCAGGTCTACTGTCTGGTACTGATGTATGATGTAGGGTCAAGGGCCGTTCTTACACTCCTGTTTAAACGTTTGTACACATCACTTCTGTTGAGGCCTCAACTTCCGGGGGCATCATGCCATGAGAAATCCAAGAATCTTAGAAGGCATGCTGTGACTGGTGGTGCTCTTCTTCCACGTGAGGCGACGATGCCCGATCAACAGAAAGATCACAAGGTACCTTATGAAGGCGGGTTGGGATGTCGCTCTGCTTGCAAGATCTGATGCTGCAGAAGAGTATAAAGTGTTAGTCTTGTGTTCCTTCTCTCTGCCCCTTGCCCGCGAGGACGACTGTTCCATGACCACGAGGATCACGCATGCAGTTGCGTCTGGGACCAACTGTGGGAAGGACTAGTCGCTGATAATATCCAAAGGTGTGTCTTTTGGTGGACCTAGGGCACTTGCAAGCCGTAATGATGATTACATATGTTGCGTCAGGACCCACCAAAGACACACCCTTTGTTACAGTATTAAGGGAGCCATGCAATTTTTGCACCTCCCAGGCGAATCAGACCCCTCGAATTCCCGGCTACCAAAACAGCCTGGCAGACCAGCTTCGGAACCTGCGCCGTGCTCCAAAGCGGCGCGCACCGCAAAGCACAACTTGGCGCCCAAAGCTCATGGCCAAGTAAGCGCGCCCGCCACAGCAAGGTTTTTCTGCCTGACGAACTGTTCAAACTTCGAAAAATCTGGCACCTCAGAGATGGAAAGATTGAGAAGGCATTCTGGGACCTTCCTTCAAATTCCAACAAAGGATACAATAATCGAAAACCCCTAGAGTAGTCTACCTGGAACACTCTTGCTCAGGTGCACAGAATTACTGCAGCCGTGCCAGTTTCTGGGACAGGATGCACCAGGAGGAACTCGTGCACTGTACGGCTGGACAAGGAGCACTAGTTGAAACAGAAGTCGAAAAGGTCTACCAGAGCGAAATTCTTTTGAAACACTGTCCGCTTAGGCCACTCTTTGAGCATCAAACCGGCCGCTGATTCATTGTCTGAGTCAAATCAACATCAATCCGTCAATCAAACATGTGTTCTTCGCAGAAGAAGATCCTTGGCCCATTCAGACACTCCCTGCAAGCTGCTGGTTAAAATCCAATTCGGTGTCGCACAACACTTGCCCAGGCTTCACTGAGACCTGGGTGGCCCAAGCAATCATCGGAGCTCAGCTGTCGACGTGCACAGCCGGACAACACCATCGAATGATATCTCAGTTTGCTTCGCCAACAATTCATGGAAATTCAAGGGTTGAAACGGTTTCACGAGGACATGTTGAACCGTTGTTTTGCCCGTGTTTGCCAATTTGTGCGCCTCGAGCGCTTGCAGCTGTCACCATGGGTGCTGAACCTCGATGCTCCACTGGTGTCATTGCAAGTGGTTGCCCTAGCATATCATATTCAAAACTACCTACAGTACATTGTCCTATGTTCTTCTGTGGAATCTGTTGGATTGAAGGAAAGGAAGAAGTCATGGCAGCAAGCACGATAATCCCAAGTGGTGCAAAAAATGTCCGAATATAATCAAATATTATATCTGTTAAATAATATAGATATGCAGTTATATTTTAATTACAGCGACATAGATCAACTTCTCGACCAAAAGCTCATGACCACATCTCACGTAATCTCACGCAAAACAGCCCCTGCGTCCCACCACCATTCCTTTTCTACTCGGCCCCGAGCTGGATGAAGGTCCGCTCCACGGGCAGGTCTCAGATTGAGCCCGGTTAGGGCTCGCTTGGTTGCAAATCGACACCAGGAAGCCAGTGGTTGAAAACGACACGAAGCAGATCGGCCATTGGTTCATCGAATTTCACGTGGGTCTCTTGAAGGACGGTTTCGAAAACAAACATGGGTCTCATGAACTATGAACTGTAAGTTGCACATCTCTGAGGTGTCCCTGAATTCCACGTCTGAGGGCAGTGGCGGCCATCGCTATTAGGTTGGCGGCCATCGCTAGTAGGTTGGAGGCCATTGCTATTAGGTTGGAAGCACTCCGTCACTGAAAACTCCCTGAGTTGAACAACACCCGAATTGAACTGAAAGAACCGCATGTTTGTCCTTGAGGGCCGGCTCCCTGTTCCTATGTGTCTGTTGGGGGGGGGCCGTGCATTCCCAACGACTCCTCTAAAACAACAAAGCAAGCATCCAGCTGCATCAGCTGACAGAATACCACATCAGTATTTCTTGGGTGAAAGAGCACCTAATTGTGCCCTATTTGGAGTTTGGGAGCAGTCAAGTGGCATGAGCTATCAGAATGGATTGTGAACAGTCATCACAGGGAATCTGAACCTTCTGATTAGGAATCAAAGTGACGGAAATCAGAATCTTCCCTAGAGACTTCAGGGCATCCACCTAGCCTCAACAACCTCATCATCCACAACAGACCCCAGGCGACACTGGGCTTTCCCGCTTTCTCCGGGCATCTCGCTTCCTGCCAAGTCGAGCTCCACCCATATGGCCCAACTGGGGATGAACCCCTTGGGGAGATTGGGAGATTGAACAATGGCAACCTTCCGGAAAATGCCCCAGTCCTAGAACCTGCCCCGGACAATGGAATCTCAAAGTATGCAAGATTTGTTGCTTCGAACATCTTCAAAACAAGCCTCGACAGAACTTCGTGAAGATTGAGTAGACCGTAGACTAGTCAAATGACTGGCCCTCTAAGCTACTATATTGTCTTGAGTTGCAAGTGCTGGGTGTGAGTCTCGCCTAGAGGTGGTTCAGCAGACCAAAATAGTCATCTGCTCATCCCGTGTTCCGTACATGGTTTCAATGTCCATGAAAATTATGGAAGCTATAAGACTATAAGGTAGCATTGGAACATCCAAAGAACACTAAGGTACCAAACCAACTGTCGTGGGACCCCAGAAATAGGTCAGTAAGCAAGCAAGTAAGCAAACTACTCCCCTTCCGAATCCCCACAGTAGTTTAGTTTGGATAAATCGATTTCCCTGACAGAAAGTTGGAGCTCGTGACCCGAATCCAACCCACAATTCCCGCGCGCAGTGCCCTAGCAGCGCCGGGACGAAAACCCCGCCTGTCCCGCAATCACCTTCCGAGCGAGCACCTTGGTCTCCAAAAACGGTGGGACCGATGACTGACCACGCTTGATTGTTCCTTCCCGAGAAATAGGGGATGGTAAAATGGCGTCCTTTTTGCCCAAAAGCAGTCATAAAGCAAAGTTCCAAGACATCATGTCTCCCTTTGATATCCTTTGATTGTAGTGAAACACACAACTCATCAAATTGGCTCAGACCTGCACATGCAGACTTTGTCAACAGCAAACTGATCAAACTCTGAGTGAAGTGTCTAGTGTGGTCGAATCCTGACCGGCGTAGGTCCATCCAGGTTGGTAGCACTTAGGGACTCATGAAGCTCATGGAAGGAGCGATCTCTGACGCCCATGACTTCTCCCCTTGAAAAAAAAAGGTTAACCTTGTTCCATCTGTTCTTGTTTAGTGGGGAAACCACTCGCTAAAGAAGGTTCAAGGTTATCCACTGACTGGGTAGGAAGTCTTCCTGGGCGGCCGGGCGTTGGAAAGTCACGCCCTGTCCGATAGATTCGCCATCCGAGTCCTCCTGGCTGCAAGAGGAGGGACGAGAAGCACTGGGAAACCGCAGTCTGGTCCACCTGCCGTCCTGTCCGACCCGCCTGCGGGGGTGCATAGAAGCCGTTGGGTGCCTGAGCAGCACAGAAGTTGAAGGCCTGGAAGCAGCAAAATGGCGATTCAACAAGGCGAAGGTCCAAAAGCAAGTGTAGGAAGGACAAACGCAAGATTCATGTCCTTTCAAATCCTTCAAGCATGCCATCTCTTGCTAAACGCCAGGCCAGGCAGACCTTCTGAGGAGGTACAAGGCCTGTCTTCATCGGCATTTGAGGGACACGCACATGCTCTTGGACCTGCTTCACGTCCTGCAGCCGAAACGTCTCGCAGCCGAATCTCTCCGAGCTCACTCTTCTCGCCAGTGGAACGTCCCAACGCTGCAACGCTCCTGCACAGCACAAACCACTGGGACGTTCCAGCCCGGCTGCAAACCTTGTGGCATCGGCATTTGCATCGGCTGAGACCTGTCAAGATTGGGCGAAACAAAAATCACATGAAGTGCGACGTGACCACCGCTAACCACAGTAGGACAGCAATGAAGTATATGAAAGTGGTGGACTGGATCAAGGCACGATGAACTCATCACCAACCACCCTGTGTTGGGCATCATTCACCAAGGTCAAATTATATCAATTCTCAATCCAAGGTATCCCCAAAACCAGCTCCAAAATTTTGGCCCACGAAGAGTCGCGGCCTTCCAGGCTGCCCAGTTGCGGGTACCTCACGGCTGACAAGCTCTGCTTACGTTTGGATTGGAGGACGCTTATATAGCTCTTTGTACACTTGAGAAGAGAAGAGCCGAAAGTCAGCCCTCGTAGACATTGAGAACTCTATCACATATAATGGCTGTTAAAGTGTGACCAAGTCGAGGCTGCATTATTGAAACCGTTGCACTTGCTGGTAGCGCATGACCGCGATTGCCATGCGAGGTCGTTGTGAGTGAGAACTTGAGATTGGTCATTGGTCAGAGCCTTAACAGCCAGAGAACTGCAGGTTGCCAGATGCTCAGAGAATTGCCTTTAAAAAAAACAACATTGTACAATACATTCTGGCTTGACACGGCTAGGAGCACACAGCTCTGCTACAGTACAGACCGCAAACATAGTCGCTTGGGGAGACCTAGCTAGATCCCAGAAGAGCGCATTCTTTAAAACCGTGACAAAACAAAGCACCACACATGCCCTTTTGTTGAGTCCGTTAGTCTCAATGCGTTTCGGCCCACGCTCTCTTGGACCACGTAGACTCTACGCCGGAGCAGAACAGAAAACGGTCCCTCACGATACCGCACAATGCCTTCTTGGTTGAGGTCTTTATAGCCACGCCTGCTTGCTGAAACCGTCGCACTTGTGGTCGCACATGACGGTGAGTGCCATGTGAAGTCATTGAACTTGAGATCGGCCAGAGCCCTCGAACAGCCAAAGAAGCACATGTTGCTAGAGGCTCAGTACAGTCTGGCTTGACACAGCACTCAGCTCTGGCGGCAGACCGCAAACATGATCTTTCAATGTATTTTCTTTACAGCTGCTTGCTGAGACCTAGCTAGATCCCAGAAGATAGCACTCCTTTGCTGGTGTCCATTTTTCCTCCTCAAAAACCGTGACAACTAACGGACTCAATGCGTTTCGGCCCACCCTCTCTTGGACCACGTACAGAAACACGTCTCCTCACAGCTGACCGCGTCCATGTTTGCTGGGAAGAACCATAAACACAACCAGACAGACTGCTGTCCACTTGAATGGTATCCTGGCCACTTCGCGACGCTAATGTTGCACTATTCAACCTTTGGCATCACTCACAACCAGCTAGTCAGGCTGTTGCTGAGGCTATAAGGGACGACACTATGATGGCATCCGGTGAGGATACTTGTGCAGCCGATGGAGCCAGTGGAGGCATCACCATTGAAGCTAAAGCCACTTCGCATCAAAAGGGCGGGCAGATCCTCTATATGGTGGTACAGTCGGGCCTCTGTGTTTGTCCCAAGGACAAGAGCATGGCGCTGAAGGCAGCAAAGAGGAAGGAGGAGAAGAGGCAGGCTAATCGACCTCCAAAAGCGCCGCCGATCAGCACCCCACAAAACGGTCTGCGAGTGGCGAGGTAGAAGACGACATGCAAGATGAGAAGTCAGGACACTCCTCGATGGCCGCCTGATGCCGAGGACCTTGAAGATGTGGTGCATGCTGAAGGCTTTCAATATGAAGGTCGCAAGATGAATAAAAACGACGGCACGGGTGCACCTCCCATGGCATAGAATGTTCACCAGGTTCAATGCGCAGAGAAGGATCTCGCATAGGTGCGCTTGCCGCAGCATTTGGACCCAAGTCCGTAAGCGACCTCCTCATTTCCAGCTAATCCACACTCGGTGTCATCCCTGGTGGATTATAGTCATCTGTCCCATAGGTCCACGACGGTTTGGGTTCTTGATTCCTCCAGCGAACTTTTTCAAGTTCACACGGGTCATGTTGTCCATGCGGCGGTTGATGCGTGGGATCGCTTCTTCAGCTCGAACGATCTCAGCTCTTTGGCCGGAGAGTTCCTCCAATTCCTCCACCGATGCACCCACCGGAAGTTGTACGGGATCTTGGGGAGGCTCAAAGTTTCCCCGGAACACATAAAGATCCGTGTCAACGCCCAGTTTCTTTCCGGCGGAAAAGACTGCAGCAGCTCCCGCACCTGGATCTATGCGCTGACGCTTAAGCATCACCTGATCCAGACATTGAGTCCAAGGGGCTGACTTGAAGGCACAGGTGTCAAAAGAACAAGTGCCAAAAAGGAAGTCGATTCAGCCCGAGATATCCCGAGATCAGGTTCGTCCGGGGGCCACCCGAGTCCTGACGATCTACCCGCGGAGGAGGAGAAAGAAGGATTCATTGAGGAGACCAAGATGGACGCTGCGCGGGAAGGAAACATGAAGGAAGCTCCAGCTACAGCGGCAGCATCTTCGGGATCTATGCCTTTGACCTCTGCGGTGCCCAAAACGCCACCAAAGGGTGCTCCAAAGAAGTCCCCAAGGGCATCGACTAAAGGACTAAGGAGCTGCCATGAAGAATGAAGCTCAGGAGACAGGTGGACCACCTCCCAAAGAGTACCTACGTGGTTTGCAGCGACTCTGGACGTGAGGGCCTCTGGTACATCAAGCTGAAGCCAACTGTCGGAGGCCACGATTCGACGCGCGAAGTTCTGGCAGCCCAAGGCCACGTGAAGTACATGATCCAAATTCATCATACCCACGAGTCCAACAAGGTGCTCCAGAGGTGCGGTCCGACCGGACACCCGGGTTAGCATCCTTCGGGTCGAAGACGGTGACCGCTATCCTTTTGAATCGGAGGATGAAAAGGGGCCAGACCTTAGCCGAAGAATGGGTCGGATACACTGTGTGTTTTCCGACGTGCCGGTTGAGCTGAAGAGGAATGGCACCTTCGCTGACGGCATCTTCGGTACGCCTTTTGAGTTTGGCGGCTTCATCTGAGAGGTCCTGTCTCCATGTGGAGTTTTTGACCTGGATACTATCCCAGCATCTCTTGATGAGAAAGAGCTATGGCCTGAAGAACATGCACTGAAGGGCTTGAGGGCTCACTTTCTTACCTTGGATGACGCACGGATGGCACTGTAAAAGACAGCACCAGGAAGCGTGTGCGTCCGTCTAGTAGTACAGAAACGTACATACCAAAGACCTATGGACAATGTAGCCCTTTCGAAAACAAGGAAAAGTCGCTTTCGCCGACACGTGGTTATAAATGCCTCCAGGCTAGCCAACTGGCCATGATTTTCATACAATGGCAAAAGCGTTTGGTCACAGAAGCCTAAACCAGTGATTAGTGAATTACGTCTTCAATGCTCTCTCTTCAACAAAACCAATCCAAAACACTTAGAGGCTCCTGGAGGCTACAAGAAGCGCCGAAGAAGTGTCCAAGCCATTCTGCCCCTGTTGCCATCATTGTGATTCCAAACCCCAAAAGCTGTTCGGGGCTATGTGATCGCACTCAGAGACCTGCTCTGCAAAGGAAAAAGAGCTTGCCAACTTGCATCCCTCTCAGTGCTGTTGTGGGCGCTAAAGTTGCTAAAGCGTCCGTGGGCCGGCATTGCGGCAGCTTAAAGGTCTCGTGCGAGAGCCATTTGGTAGAGAAAATGAAATAGGACTCAGAATCTTCTATAGTGTTGAGAGAAACATCCATATCATGCGCACGCACACTCTAATTCTCTCTCTCTCTCTCTCGCTCTCTCGCCCTCTCCCTTTCTGGAACCCAAACGAAGCCACTTTGCCCAGTGGTGTCAGCCCCCGGTTCCAGCTCAGAGAGTGGTCGCACCATGACCACAGGAACCGCCACAAAGGCTGGCGAAGGCTTTACGGCCTTGGATCGTTTCACGAGAAAACTTGACTTGGCAACTTGGGGGCTCGACCTGTTGCCTCGCAGAATGCTTCGGACTGGTTCTGCCTTCGGGGCTGGTGGGATGTCCTTCACACCTCTGACTCAACAGACCTCATGTAGCTCTTCCCAGCTTTTGTCCCTAACAAGTAGCACACCCTCAATACAGGTGTCCGTCACACATCATACCCAAATGTAATCCAATTTCGGTGGGACGTCGACTTGATCTAGAAAAGAATATCAAAGGAAATCCCGCAAATTCTCTGGAAGGAATGAATCCCCCTTTGTCAAGGATTCTTTTCCTTCCGGTCACTGGGCCCGGCCACCGCCGCTCGATTGACCACAGGCTGGGCCGCCAAGTTGCCTGGCCGGTGTGCACCCTTCACAATCACCACTTTCCGACTGGAAAATGATGAAATTTTCAGAAGCGTTCCTTTTTTAGCCCGCTCCCCCTCCTCCCTACTTAATGATTAATCAAGTAAGGGAGGTACGGTAGCTACTACCTGCAAGTAGATCCTACCGACAGGACGCAGGACAGCTCGCGCTTTTAGGGCTGGGGGAGCTTCCTTGAAGAAGCGCTCTCACTAATGATTTGGTTCCTAGATGTTTAGGGAAACTTAAGGTTCGAATTCTGCTAGTACAGGGGTCGAATTTAGCTGCCTTCTGGTTTCAGCATGTTTCATCTATTGTGTTCTTGTACTCTTAGAACCTATGGCTGGGCATCGAAATCCTGAGTGTAGGTGCTTTGCAGCTGAATCCGTTGGAGTCAAGACAGCCGCACACTCTCTAGTCACCCTCCTCCTTCAATCTCTGACTCTTGGGCCCGCATTTGCACTCTCTCTGCTGCACCATGCGTATTGAGAGCCCTGCTCTCCTTACTGAAAAGCAACTTAGGCCCGGTCCATCCATGTCCATTGCCCTTTCCTGCTTGCCTCGCTTCTGCGCACGAAGATTCTCCTCCTGTTGCAAGCGTTGTGCCTGCCAATCCAATCACTCCAAGGGTTAACGAAAGAAACCCAATGGAGGCCTACTCCAACAGCTTGATCCCACTGAGTTGACTCAAAAAAGTAGGGGATGACAAAGAATATCTCTTCGATGGGGTAGATCAAATAGACGAAACCGTCGACTCCATTGACATGTCGAAGTCAAACCTCAGCTGCCTTCCTCCGAAACGTTCCAACGAGAACCTGGTTTAAAGCTCCTATAATATATCCAGTATATATATATATAGAGAGAGAGAGAGCAGAGAGAGAGAGAGAGTGTTATCTCTGTCGCTGCCGTGCTTTCTTACATACTCCAACTCTTATCTTTGTTGTTGCTTCGAGGAGCCTGGCACATGATAAGGGATCATTTCTGAACCATCTTAAAGCCATCTACAGCTTGCATGTCTACCCGCAAGCATGCCGATGTTGGAACAGAATATACCTATAAGAATCTACACTAGCCCGTCAAAGACGTGTGGTCAAGACTGAGTCAAGAGAGAAAAGCTGCTCGTATGATTCATATGACATCGTGATCCGCCCATGTTGCTTTGCCACAGAACGTCCAGATCTCGCCTCGACTGCATCATGGAAGCGTTCCATGGCTCGGTCAAATTCCTAGCACAGGGCCATCGAGGTCGCGCTACATGGACGTGGATTCTGGGCCGACGCCTTGTGCAGTGCAGGTCCCCTTTTGGATCCCAAGGTTGGTCTTTAAACAGCTTGGATGCCCTGACTTGTGTAGATGGATGCTTGAAAGAATCAAGAAGCATGCAGTGGATGGACACGACGGGACCTATGGATTTCATTCCAAGTGCCATCTCTGCTGAGATTTAGCAAATCAAACCAAACTGACCAAACGCCCTCTCCGCCTCCTTGTTGAGAACTGCCCCCAGTTTCTTGTGCAAGCGCTGGCGCACACGCCTCCTTGGTAAACAGGTCCAAAACAACTTGATGCCGAGGGTTGGTGACGAAAGCTAGCAGGGGGGGGGTGAAGCGGGTGACAGTCAGCCCCATGCCACTTACTGTACTTGCTAAAGCAAGAACAGCTCCAGCTAGCTGGTGCTAGCTTTCGTGATTTTGACATCACAAGTATCGTGCGTTTTTTTTGAACGGTGTCTCCCCATGCATGACATCAAGAAGGATGCATTTACCTACAGCAGCTAAGTAAGTGCAGTCTAAGGATGAATGAAGCCTATTGCAAATCATCAACTCAGGAAATCTGTCCAAGACCTCGCAGTCCTACGATCCTGAATACTTGTAAGATCTTGTGAGGACTTCTCAATTTTTCACATGCAATGGGCACATCACAAATCTTCTAAGAGCATCTTTCTCCGTTGTCCTTTTGTTCAAACATCCTCCGAGGGGCTTCACTGCGCGGTTGGGTGCTTCAGCTGTCGCAGCCACGGCGGTGCGCAAGAGCTCCTCCACCGCTGGAGCGATGTCGGCCTCCGGCGACCGACTGGCGGGCACCGGTTTGTCTCGGTTTGTCTCTGTTTTGTCTAGTCCAAAATGACCTACTTCTTCTTTGTCTGGGCTTCAGTCTGTCTTTCGGCGGTGTAAGGGCTTGTAAATGCCTTAGCTGGACAGCGGACTGAAACCTCCGAGTGCAGGAGTTATCTGGCATAAATTGACATAATATAATATTCATGTACTGAGCAAGAATAGAAAAGGAAACCATACCCCAAAATACCCCAACTCTGGTCTGCGGACTTCAGTGTGCCTGCCTTTTCGGGCAGCTTCTCTTCTACCTGGCACGTGGCTGGTGTACGTGGCTGGTGTGGTCCAGAACGAACCACTGGGATCTGCAAGCCTTGGTCACGACCTTGTTGTGATTCTGCGGTGGCACGTGGCAGTTGCAGATGGTCTGACCATGGACCTTGAGGAATTCGGCCAAGCGAAGTTGAACCGTGTCAGAGCTTGGGGACAGTGTTCAATCACATGGAATCAACCTATGGATATCAGGTCGGTCAATCCTTCAGTCAATCCCTTCTTGAAGGCCAAAGGACCGTTGGCAAAATCTGTTCAGAGAGCCTGCGGCACCCATACAATCAGTTGGACGCCGTTGAAGCCAGAAAGCCTCACTCCTCCACCCACCTTCACTTGAAACAGACACACATTTGATGGATCTGAATATATCTGAAAGCAGATATGGAAACAAAGGGCGAGTTGTTCAACAAGCAGAAGTTCACTTCTTGACTCATGAGGCTTTCACTGACACCCCACAAGTTCATAGGGCTTGGACTTGGTTGTTATGCTGACGCCAAGTGGCGTTGACAGCTCCCAGGCACATCTCTCCTTAGCTCGAGATGAAGAGAATCTGATCCCATCAATCCAGGCTTACCATGTCAACTCCGCATGCTTTGTGGAGGATAAATCAGGTCAAGTTGAGTCAAACCACCAGAACCTTCTCTCAGGCGGTGCGTAGTGCAGTGCAGTGTGGTGCATTACACAGACAGTCTTCAACCGCAATTAGTTTTAGACAAGAAACGGTGTTTTCTAACGGTTTCTAGTCTCAATTCGGTCCGTAGGGTAGGGGTTGAAAGCTGGCCACGGTGTGCAAACGAGCATCGTGGCTGGCCAATGGAGAGCATTCGCAAGTGCAGTCCAGCAAAAGGCAGCTGCGGCAAGAAGTCACACAAGGATCAAAGCTATCACATGTGTTTCACATGCGCCAAAGACGGCTTTTGGAAAAGCCAACGAACGTACTTCGGGCGACCTAAGTTTGGAGATGAAAAAATCCAGTTCAGGTTCGACGAAACCGCCAAGGGGTTCCAGCACCGGCAAAGTAGCAACCCGGCAGCCAACTCCGGGAACTGGGGCTAGTGTTCTTCTAGTTCCTACCTATCCAATGTAACTGTTCAACAGTGTTCAACAACTTCGGTGAACCCAAGGTGTTGACAACCCATCCAGTCTCAAAGCCGAAGAATGCGAGTTCCCGGGCTGTGCCAGTAAGGTGCGCCGTCCAAGCAGGGCGTACCAAAGCGCCACCACCTCGGGTTGGATCTCCTGGCAACAGGTCTGCAGTGCTCAAAGACCGCACTGGAACTGCATCAATGGGAGGATATGCAGGATGTGGGATATGTATGGACATGTAGGATCAGATCCCCTGTGGAATTACTGGTGAATGTCGGAGATTCTATAGTGAGCAAACGAGAAACCAACCTCAAAGGGCAGAATGCCCCACTATAGAATCAAATCTCAACCTATTGCAGTGAGAACCTGTTCCCTATAAAGTGGTTCAGCTCAACCTTTTGAGCAAAGCTATTGTTTTCCTCAATAAATGTTGCTGCCAATATTCGGGAAGAACAATTATACAAATCCAAGGTTGAAGTTGATCTATAGAGAAGTGGGGGCAATATGAAGGTTGAAATTGATTTTAGAACGCGATTGGGCAAAAGTGGCCCAAGAGGTTGATTGTGATTTTATAGAGACATGTTTGGACACTGCAGGGCAGAAGAAGGTTAAACAGACATGCAAAAGCATGTCAATGTCAAAAAATATTATATAAAGGGATGATTGGACAATTGAAACCTAGAATCCCAACACGCACCGGAAATCGCACAGAGGATGATCTAATGATTTGGAATACAACTGGCAGTTTCATGCCTTCTCTATAAAATGGAATAGCTCAACCTATTGGGCATCATGAAAAATCAACTTGTGAATGCACAGGTGTTTAGGCTAGCTTTTTCTCGACCTCCCAGATTCTATAAGGTTTATTCGGCAGGGGATGGCATCAGTGTGTTTAAACGTTTAAACCAATCTTTGGTGCATTCTCTTCCAGAACAGCCCCGAACGGGAGTTGCCTTTCGCCTGCAAGGATGAGGGGCCCGGAAATCAGATCCTAGCCTGGCCCTGGCGTCGCAGTAAGACTCGAGGGAGCTGCTCCAACACCTAGCCATGGAGTGGAGGTATCTAGGGTGAGTTGGCGGCGGTGTGACATGGACTGATAAACTACTCGAGGCTTGAAGTCTCTTCATGGAGTGCTACAGGCCAAACACCCGGACAAATCCTCTTCGGTTGTCGCGGTGCTTCGAGTTTTCTGTCAAGCCTCTATACGTCCTTTTTGGTGGAAATGTCATGTGAGTCATGTGTTGTTATGACAAGATCTCATTGCTATTAGGTTGGAGGCCACTGCTATTAGTAACTCGAAACAACAGCTCCTTTTTGGTGTAAACTTGAAGGGTTGAATCGGGTTGAACAAGTCCAAGTAGGGTGCCCACTGCCATGTCTGAGTCGGAAAAGGTGAAACGCTCCTACAACAGGAGAAGTCGCCCAGGAATCTAGTTGAATTCGTCGTTGAATCGCCGTTTTCTATTCGGCTCGTTGAGGATGTCTTCACTGGATGAAACCCATCTTCACCTGCAAAAGGATGGCTAAGCCATCGGCGCACCTTTCTGAGGGCTGCCCGGTCATGAAGCCAGAGTCCCAGCCCACTATGCCGCAGGGCCTCAGGTGAAACGTCCAAAGATCCACCCAATCCCTCAGCCAAACCTCGACATAAATATGTTTAAGCTAGATGTTGATGCAACTTTTGATGGTCTGAAGCAAACGCAAACGTACATCTGATTTTCAGCAACCTCTTTGAGCAATGGGGAGGCAAAGGGTATGGCATGGCCCTTGGCAGACTTTGGCCACCCCGCTGGCCAGTCAAGATCTGTCCCAAGTGCCTGGGCAAGCTGTGTGAAAAAGGCTCTCAAAACGTGCTTTTGATCCTGCCAAGTGACCCAACAAAAAGGCACCACTCTAATAGGTTCCAATCTGTCCCAGCTAAACTAGCTAGGCAATGCATGGCTATGCTATACTAGGTAGGTGATAACTGTCCGGCAACAAGTGGTTTGCTTCTAAGCTACAGGAAATAGTCTATGTATGTGTTTCCCATCGAAACATCCAGTATGTGAGCGAACTCCCATGTCGCTCGCTCTTCACATGACCATGACTGAAGCCTCCAGAATGTTGTCCACAATGGTCCCTTGGCAATCTGAATGCATGGCCCAGCACAAGTCCTGAGGCCAAGTCTGCGCTGTCATGGCAACTGACTCTGTGTCTGTCATCGTCACCATTCCGCCCTTGTGGGTGGAATCATCTCTGCGCCCTTGCTCCTAGTAGTAAGGCCAGGAGCGCCTAGTAGCTTCTTGTTCCTAGTAGTAAGGCCAGGAGCCCCTAGTAGCGTCCTTGCTACAAGTTGCAGGACCTTTCAATCCAAAATCATCCGGTCTCATAGCGACAAGCAATCTAGCCAAGCAGAAGTCCCTTCGGACCACCCATCCTCCGAGCTCAAGTACTGAAGGAACGTCTCGGAATTTGGAGTTCTCAGCTGCCAACCTCAGCCGCATCGAACCCTCAAGGAAGGACGAGCCCTTCTGGACTCCTGAAAATGGATCGAGATGTACCGCCACTGTAGGTGTTTCCGCTGTCTGACAAGCTTGTTGTAGCTACTAGTAGGATTTTAAGTCACATCAGTCGGCGAAAAGTCACATCACCCCCATGGCACACCGCATTGGAAAGAAGTCACATAAAACATGTAAACTCCAGTGGCACAGCGCCGCCAAAGCAAGTCTTTAGTACAAGCTCGAGCACGCAAACACGCAGCTCTTCCTACACTGGAACAACGGCGCACCCTGCAGCGGCACCAGCACCCACGCTCGAAAACGCACACATGCAGCTCTTCTTATACTTGAAGTAAGAACTCTAATAGAAAACACGATGCAATGATGCAACAAGGTTGTTGAATCTATCACACACGCAAGCAACGCATGGGTACAGTACGTTAACATCAGTTAGAACAAATAGAACAACAACAAACATCCATAAATAAGCCAATCCCCAAGGGCACACCATTTTGATACGACTTTCCTCCGGTTGATACGACTTAAAGCCAGGCCCCAGTAACAGGCTTAGAATCTTCGAAGTAACTGTCGGTATACCTGGTATGCCTCCCTCTCCGAATCTTTGCAATGACGTTTCAAGCTAAAACATCTCCCTACTAGGGGCTCCTGGCCTCGCTACTAGGAGCAAGGACGCTACTAGGGGCTCCTGGCCGTACTGCTAGGAACAAGAAGCTACTAGGAACAAGTGCATCGCTTCTAGTAACAAGTGCCTTACTAGTAGTAACAAGAAGCTATTAGGAACAAGTGCCACGCTAGTAGTAACAGGTGCCTTACTAGTAGTAACAAGAAGCTATTAGGAACAAGTGCATCGCTTCTAGTAACAAGTGCCTTACTAGAAGTAACAAGAAGCTATTAGGAACAAGTGCCACGCTAGTAGTAACAGGTGCCTTACTAGTAGTAACAAGAAGCTATTAGGAACAAGTGCATCGCTTCTAGTAACAAGTGCCTTACTAGTAGTAACAAGAAGCTAGTAGTAGTAACAAGAAGCTACTAGGGGCTCTTTCAACACATCGACCTCAAAAGAAAAAAACCGCTCGGCCCAGCGGACGCCGCACGGCCACATGGACCTCGAAAGCCTGGTGAAACTGCGATATGTGGAAACGGGGTTGTGTGAACGCCCTTTGCTTGACTTGTCTTTGGAGTCTCAGGGAGAAACCAATTCGGGGCGAAAGGGGTGAACACGATGTTTAATGGAATTTCCAGGTGTTCAAGTCGAAGCTGCCCTTTGGAACTGGTGAGGACAATGTCAAAGGAAGTGATTCTGTGCAATTGTAGAGTGGTAGCAAAAGCAGAATTGGCCGGAGACGGATATGCAGCCCCCTGAGGCTTAACAGAAGCAACTCATGCGCGGCCTCTGAACAAACATCTGGCAAACTAGGTGTCTCTTTGTCCTTTCAAGCATCAGCCACTGAGCGAATCCGAGTTCCAACTCGGATGATGACGACAGAAAAGCAGGTCTTCTGCCATGGAAAACCCTGTTGACCTCCCAAACCGATGTGTCCCCGTTTCCGATCGCCTTCATGAAGCGCTTTCCGCTCTCATCCAAGTCAGAGGCGTGCGGAGTCGCGCCAATGTCTTGCCTGGCGAAGGGGAAGGCGCCATACAAAACTAAATGAGAATCAAAAGCAGTATGCCAGGCAGTATGGAACTGGTCGTATGCTTGGAATGCTCCTTCGGCCGTATCTGTGATAGAATTGCTCTATGTTTGCATATGTTGGCCCTTGATGCAGGGCAGGTTGTCTTAGAGTCATGTTTGATGGAAAAGAATCCGTCCTCTCTGAACGCAAAGATTGCTTCCGATCCTGAAAAGAGAAATCCAGTCTGACGCTCGAATGATGGAAGGTAAGGTTGAGTCGAAAATCTACGTTCGATGAGTTGTGATGCATGAGTATGCGAGCGATGATCAAAAGTCATTGTGTGACTCAAGGTCATCAAGATTTGATGAGTGTATTATAATATATATATATTATATAATGTAGTATTATATAATACAGTACTAGTACCAAGTCCATCACGTGATCGCTTTGGGTGAGTGTGGCGTTGTTTCCCCAGCAAAACAGTGCAAAACATACATGTTGAAATCCCACATCCCACCGACTAACCACTTGTCACTTTCATAATCTGGACGTCAGGCGAAGGAAGCAGAGGAACACATGAAAGCTCTTTTCTATGGAATCTATGACCTGTGAATCTCTTCGGTGATCCTGTCAGACCATGGTCAATGATTGACCGTCAATCTGTGCCGGGCTGGCAGCAACACCAGCAAGCGGGCCTCTCACCATGGCCAGGTCATGGTTGAGTCTCATGGATGTTTCTGAATTTTGAAAAGAAAGGTACTTCATGTCCCAAACCATGGAGAAGGACCTATGGAATGTATTTCCAGATTTGGATACTTGACCAATCCATACCAATCCCAAACAACCTGCCATTGCCACCGCCGGCAGCTTCCCATTTCTGAAGTGTATATACATATATACTCGAGGGCCCCCACAAAGAGGCAGAACACTTGGAATGCTTTGTTGTGAATATCAACTGACCTGGCGCGTCTTCCGATTCCACAACAATGCTGAGAAGAATGTGAATATACTCAAGGTGTTCAGCGGGTGCTGACCTGCCCCACCAAAATAAGGTGTCGGACTTGCCATGTCGTTGTGCCCTCCCGCGATACATCATACCTGGATATACCTGGACTGTTCGCCTGTTCTCTTATGTTTCTCTGGGATCCGAACTGCTGAACCTGGTCTGTACAGCTTTCAGGGATCCCATGTTTGGGTTGGAGGCACGAACCACTGCTTCGAAGGATGAAAAAATGGCAAATTCCTACAGGGCCACTCGAGCGATACTGAAACAAAGACAAGAGCGAGAGTGGACATGCCCCAACACCGAAAAAGGCCTGAAATGATCCATTATCGTGATTTGCGAATCCGGCATGCAACGGTCAGGCAGTCCAAGTGCCAATGATTGATCAAAGTTCGAAAGAAAGTGTCATGCTGGCAAATGGGAGCTATGGTCGAAAGTTGCAAGGCATTGGCACTCGGTCTATCATTGCATGCCGTCACCAAAACAAACACGATACTTGAGGAATCATTGCACAGGCATCTTTGCTGGAAAATTACTGCCGAATTTGGCGGCAGTGCAAAGGAACAGCAAAGGAAGTATAGAAGCAGCCCGAATCATACTGTAGCGACAAATGGTCTGGGACTTGCAGCCCAACTGCCACCATTGCTTTCGTTGGCTCAACCTCCTCGTTGGGAAGTTGACGAGAAGACCTGTTTGTGACCTCCCATTTTCAGGAAGCTCTCCCTGTCGGGGAATGAGAGCCAATCGAGATCACGGTCCTAAATATATTTAAATGCACTGTATGTTCCTTGCAAATCAGCCAACGAAAGCCCACTCGGAAGATACTCGTGGACTGCCTCGATCAACTCGCTCTCAAATCTGGAGCCAAACATCACGTGGCATGTTATATTTAGAACATACAGCATGAATAAGACAATTTCTCATAGACAATCATCAGGTGAGCTGCTTCTGCTCCATCAGAGTTTAGACCAGCGCACCCTGTCAGCCAGAGCCCTGCGCAGCAGTGCATCCGAAGCAATGCGCAGCAGTGGCGATGGCCTCGTTTGGCGTGAGAACCCGAGGTTAAGTTTCCCCTCGTTTCCCTAAAAATGTAGAAATCAAATCATTAGTGCGAGCGTTTCTTCAGCTATCCTGCGTCCATACTAGTAGCTACTTCTAGGTAGTAGCTACCTCACCCCACTAGCTACCTAGCTAGCTAACCTCTACTAGCGGCCAACAAAAAAAAATAAAGCTGATAGGAGCGGGTTTTTAAAAAGAAAGGTTTTCGCGTCCTCTCTCTCTCTCTAACACGGCTCCGACGAGGGGCTGTGCGTAGCCCAGCTTGAGAGCATCCTATAATTACTCTTTACACACTCCGAGGCTCCATTTGGAGGCTTAGCCGGAGTCGGGATCTAGCTAGGGACAAATTCGCGTCGACTGAATGTTGAAAAAGACTTTAAAAAATTGTCACCGTTGAAGACTGGATGCTGTCACTACGGTGTTGGCTAAATGCTAAGTGCTAGAAACACACGCCCATGTGCTCGATCAGACGAATTCCAAACCGCCTAAAAACTGAAGACCGCCTCGAAGCAAGGATGCGTGATCTCTTTCCAAGTAACCTAGGGGTGTTTTGTTGAATGATACCTGGCAATTTCTAGCCACATTGCCACAATGAGATGGCCCAAATGCATCCAAAGGCATGAAAGTGAAGAAAAACATACGCCGCCGTCCCGAGCTGCCCAGGACTTTTTCGCACCCCCCTCAGAGGTCGCCCTCCGAAGCTCTGAGGTCCCCAGCAGCTCGCCGGAGCTTCTCATCATCGAGGCTCTCAACGTCGAAGACACTCAATCCAGCCAGGCCAAGATCCAGCTGCTGGTTGAAGTCACAGTCGTACCTTCGACGTAGAAAACTCATATATCATATACAGCACAATCATCTCAGTGTTGAATTAGTTGTGTGCGCACCAAGTGGACGAACATCAACCTGCTCTGCTCGACACATTACAGTAAAGGCCCACAAACAGTGGCTGGAGCTGGAGCTTTCCCATTGTTAGAATGTCGCCGTTGGGGTCATCATGCAATGTCACACAACAAAAGCGGGTGCCAGCCAGGCAACTCGACTAGTGTCTCTCAATGTCTTTTAGTTGGTAAGCTGCTGCTTGACCTTGAAAGCCAATGCCAAGCTGCATCGTGCACTGCGGATTGGATTCACCAATCATAATCAAAAGGTGCTCATGAGGAAGCTCTATGAGTGATTCAAGATGATTCAAGAGAGTCCACTCCCTTCGTCGGAACGAAACCGAGCTGAGCCTTCTTGCTGCCTTGGCACATCTTGCCGTCCCAGCCCACATTGACGGTATTCGTGCACATGAGTACAGGCATCGTTTGTTCATTGAAGTTCCGGACTAAGAGGTCCTTAGAATGACAAACTTGGATGGGCAAAAGGACATTGAGTTCATGTCATGTCACGGTTCATTGAACCAGCTCGCTACGAAGCCTTGCTGCACTGATTCATTCGAGCCAAGGAACCATGTAGCCCTCCAAAGCACCTGGCAGTGACATTTACTACTTACGACTTCACTGCGTGCCTTAGAATACCGGAGTCGGAAACCGCTCATTTTAAGAAAACTCAGGGAAGTCAACGAGTTTCTCCCAAATGTTGCACGGGCACAGGATCTCGCATGTCCGAACAAGCGGGCCATGTGACCGGCCTTTCTTTCGCAAGAAGTCAAAGTACCGCCTTAGCCACTGATCTTCCATGCTTCGGCGGTCCGTCAATGGGCCCACCATAGGACTGTTGTATACTGTTGTCGCTGCCCATACAGGAACAATTGCCAGACAAACGGTGCTTGAGCATTTATATATGGGCAAGTGGCTTGAGAGTTGTCTGGGCCAAGTGGCTTGATGGGCATATTGCAGATGGTGATCAATCCTTGGGCTGTTTCGACGTGGCTTCAGCTGTATATAAGTTGGATTTATCCACCACGATCCAAAATCCAATCTGCCGCACCCTCTTATCACGCACTCTCCAAATTCAAAGTACCTCGGATCCTCCAGCATGTCAGCAAGTCCTGTTTGCCAGGGAGCCATCAAACTTAATGCCATAGGCATCTCCCAGCTCTTTCTTGTATTTGCCTTGAAGCCTCAGTTCCATGAATGACAAACATACATATGAAGGACCAATATAGCACAAAACCATTGAACTCCTCCAGCTACAGAATCCACAATCGCTACCTACCAATCACAACTTTGGGCAAAGCCCTTCGGGGAACTACCAGCCCATGGAGGACTGGACTTGCTCAATGGAGCTTGATGGGACAGCCTAAAAATTCTTGGAGGCCATTGCTAGTAGGTTATGTTGATTTTTGCTTCACCTCACAACAGCGGATGCCTCCCCTTACGATCGATCCCGGCCAAGCCGAAAAATGAACGATCCGCTGCAAGTGGAGGGTGTTGCCGGTGTTGCTGGTGTTCTCGTGTGCCAAAGAAAGGTCACATCGCCGACCAGCCGAAACGCCCGGTGATCACCATTCCACGGCAAGAGACGCACATTGCTTGGGTGGTAAGAAAGGTCCCGGAGGGTTGAAGACCAAGTCCAAGCGTAGGCCAGTGGCTCCTGAGCCATGAATGATCAGCTTCCGTGGTCTTTGTGAAAGAAGCTCCAAATGATGTGATAAAGTACAGGCTTCCCAACAAAGATCTGAGGTACCATTGCAAGGCCATTTTTGCCTTCTTCACTTAGGTTCCATTCCAAGGGTCTAACTGAAGGATCGCGAGAAACTATGCTCAACTAAGTTGGAAATCTGAGCTGGTGGTCCCCCAAAACGCGACATCCGACAAGGGTCGCCACAGCAATTCGGCCAGGGCACCTGTACCATAACCGTGATCATTCAAGATGCGGAGGCCCTGGGACAGCACAGTGTTTGGAAAGGACAACTCTCCAAATTTCACCGGGTGGGCTCCTATTACAGGACTGATCTTTATTCCACCCTACCGGCATCGGAGGTCAACAGCCCCAAGGAGGACCAAGCGAGGTCACCGGACGCACGATCGTCCATGTCCGTCTGGACTCGTGACACGCTGTGCTGCGCAGCGGCTGCGCCTGGACACTCCGCTCGAAGACCTTTCGGCCACGCTGCCTGGCGAGCTCTAGAGCTGGGGCTTTAGGCTTCAAAATGGAAATTGGATCGATTTGGATCGTCTTGGCCAAGTATACTTAGTAATTCTAAGATTGGAAGTGGTACCTGGCACCTGTATGTGAGTGAGTTGGAGTGTAAGCCAGCCATGCCGCAGACGTGAATCCCCGACCGAACCGTTTTGCAACGTCCAGCTGCTTCAGATCACAGTGGCCCGGGGAATCCGTTCGCCAATCACCCTGCGAATCTCTCCAAAGCGTCCCTACAATGATCACCCTCAGTGACTGGGGCCTATCGGTCTGCTCTGGCTCGTAGCTTGGAAGGGAGCAAATCACATCCACGCGATGCTCAGCCAGGAAGTTGGGCAAGGTCTCCTGCCCTGGCTCAAGCAGGACCTGCATGCAGCGCGTACCAAGCGGGTTTTCAACTAGTATACTACTGTTGGCAAGAGGGTACCAAGCAACAACATGAGAAAAAGGCAAGTCTTCTGGTTCTACCAAGAATGTCAGCCAATTGAATGCATTGGCATTGTTCTTCCTTAGTAGCAAGAAGCTACTAGGAACAAAGTGCATTTCTATAGTAACAAGAAGCCACTAGTAACAAGTGCATCGCTTCTAGTAACAAGTGCCTTACTAGTAGTAACAAGAAGCTACTAGTAACTTAAATTCTTTTTATTGTTTCTAATAGCTTCTTGTTACTAGTAAGGCACTTGTTCCTAGTAGCTTATTAAGCACTGAAAGCAAGGGCATCGCTACGTGTTCTCCCCCCAATCAACCTTTCCGACGAAGCCCATCCGACTCAGTCCGACGACTGCGGGCCGTGAGGTTGCAACGGTCGATGATGCGCAACTCTCGCCCAGTCTCCTTGGTGTCAAAACCCTGCACCTTCTGAATTGATGTATATATATATATGTGTTATTAAGTGAAACGAATCAGACTACTTCTGCTCGATAAAACTGACTGCTTGTAGCTTCCTCACAGTGTTGCTTCATTTTCAGTGGCTTTGGCCTCGTCGCTGTAACAGAAGGAAATTAGGGCACAACCCAGACTGCAAAGCCACCAAATCTCATGAAATACGAGTACAACCCAAAGTCCATCCAAGGGCCCGTCCCAAAGAAGAATGAACTCATCCTAGAATAATTAACGAACCGTGCAATGCCACCTAGCATCACCTAACTAGCAAGTTGACAAAACAAATATCACGATATACGTATGGAAATAGTAGCAAGATATCCTGCAATCTTCAACAACTCAGGCCAGGAGGAAAAAACTCAACAACAGACGTTGCGACCAAACATCTATGTTCATGATGTTTTAAATGTCACCTGGGTCTGGCGGTGCAGCTTGGAGATCTAAGCCTTCTGCAAATAGGTTCTTGGATAGTGGCAAATGATCGCATGAGATTGGGAGAATTCTAGGTTTGAACTAACATTTTTCCAATTGAAATGCATGCAACAAACATACGGCCTCTTCTCTTCTTACCATCCTCCGCGTGATGTGATTCCACCGCCAGAAAAAAAACATCCGACGTGGACCCGAAAAGGGAAAAAAACCAATGTCTCTGCACACGTCTCATCACACCAACCTCAAAGCCTGATTTCCTATGCAAACGAAGACAGTCGAAGACAATTGGAGACAGCCAGAAAACCGCATACCAGGCCCAAGCAACCCGCCACAGCCAAACAGCCGGATACAAACGCAGACCCTACATACTATAACCAGCAAGACGAGCAGCAGCAAAAGCACCTGTTCAAAGGGTAAGATCAGTAGCAATGGCCTCCAACCTAATAGCAATGGCTTCCAACTTACTAGCCACGGCCTCCAACCTAGTAGCGATGGCCTCCAACCTAGTGTATAGTTGCCCACGGATTGGTCAGTCGCCTGGTGTTTTCGTACGCTTTACTGTTTTCACAGCAGCTTTGTCATCGGTGTCATAACATTGCCATCGGCTTCATAACGTTGTCATCGATTAGTCGTGTGATTAAAGTGGGGTGGGTGGGCGGAGGGGGGGGGTATGTTCCAAATCGGCTTCACCACAGGTTGTCATCGGTGTCATAACTGTCATCGGCTGTCATCGGTTTCACATCATCTTGTGTAGTTACAGTAATGTTTTTGTATAAGAAGAGATGGATATATGGCAAGCACGACGCATGCCGAGAAAGGTCAAAGTGAAAGGCTCATCCGTGCATAACCCAGCCATTGAAAGACGAGTCTGGCAGTTTGCTTGGAGAAGAGAACTGAAAGAGTCAGCGGCAAAAGATGTGCTGGAAGCTCTGATGCAAGTGATCCGAGACAAACAGTGGCCAATAAAAGTCGAACATACGCGGTCCGCACTGATGAAAACGAATGGTTTCTGAACCTGCATTTTTTCCACTACGTTCTATGAATGCTCCGTTTACAACACGGGGCGACCAGTGCGCCCGTGACTATATTCTTTGGTGGAAAAACCGTTTGGGTGGAAAAATGCGATCTTCAGCTGAGCGGCCCGCAGCGCTGCAGCGCCTTCGACGAGGCGCCGGAAGCCTGAGTTCAGCTCCGGCGCGCCACCGGTGATGTCCAGGACCTGCGGCACCGGTGCAGATGGGACTGTGCAAAGAAGGTTGGTTTAGTATGGTATAGTATGGTTTAGTTTGGTCAATTGGTTTGCAGCGTGGCATTACAGTAAATGGTTTAGTCAATTTCGCACCCAACTCAAAAGGTGTTTGTTCCAATGTGTTTGATCAAAACAGCCACTGAAAGCAAGGATTGCCATTGGCCGGGTCTGTGTATCTGGCAAGCACAAAATCTGGCACCTTTTGGACAGCCAGTGGCAACAAGCCTCTTCTCTTGCAGTTCTGCCTAGCCCTCTAAAATCAATACATCTTTTGACAATCAGTCTGGCAGTTCGCATCGCCTTCACACTCGGAGTGTTCTTGAGAAGCAGTAAGCATCTATCCACAACTTCCTGCATCAGACCACTTCAGGTCCAAAAAAATTGGAGAGAACATGTGACATGCCGACAGCATGTCCAATGATGTTCAACGTGCCCGCGTTAATACACACTTAAGAGGTCGTAGTCATCTTTGCCGCTTGTCTTTTCTGTGCACATCCAGGCTTGTCCCAGAAGGGGATCGGCGGCGCTTCTATCTGAGCCCCAGTGCTGTCTCGAGGTGATGCGGGTCCTCTGACATCATTTCCTTCCGCAAAGGCGAAGATTCCACGTGGCAGTGGTTGCATGCTTGGTTGCAGTACAGGCCTCGCGACCATTCGCACGGCGGTCCTATAGAGAGCCTAGGAATCGGTCGACGCGATAAGAGATGGACAGCTAGGGATATCTTGCTAATCCATCACTTCCAAGTTCCTAGCTAGTCAAATATTGCCATGGTCCAAAACCTTTCCCCCATTGGTTGAGGAGGAATTTGATTGCGATCAGGAAAACACGTGACCTTCTTATTTCGCTAGATTGAGCAGGCACCGAGGCACAAAAAATCAACCAATCCTCCGGCATGTCTACCACTGGCTCACCAGCAGGTGATGCACTTTGCGCTTTTTGTAAGCGGAATGATAGCAGTCTTTCAACCCTTCTACTTTAAGATAGAGACCATTTTACTATAGGGCCATCCTATTAGGGTTTCTACACTGCCTGCACATAAACACCAGGCTTCGTCAGTGCTCTTTTCGCATGACAATTGACTGCAATAGGAGTTGGCTTTGGGGAACCCGTAGAACCATGAAATAGTTATTGAAACCACCGCTTAGGCTCCAGATTAAAGACACCGTCAAAGGCTAAGGGTGTAAATTGTATGATCTAATCTGTACTTCAAAACTGTGCGTCTGGAATCGGAAGTGTGCAGTGGAATGCTGCACCGGCATAAGTAAACTTTCAAACACTCCTGTGCCTTGTGTCTATCCTATTACCAGTGACAGTGGATGATGATGATGATGATGATGATGATGATGATGATGATGATGGTCAGTGAGTAAAGGATAGTAAAGGCCTTTCTCTAAAATTGTGATAATTGTTGATCTAGTGTTGCAGGCAATAGGACAGACCCAACCTGTGCCGAAGGTGCAAGTACAAACTACAGTTTGGCAAAAGCATTCCTTGACCAGGCCTTGGACCATACTTGAAGACAAACACGTTAGGCGAAGTGCGACCACAGTGACGAATTCTATTTCCTAAGTTCAATTCCACAATGTCATGTCCCCAAAAGTATCTTTGATGGAATGATCATTCCAGGAATATCTTTCATTTGGTTCTAGAATAAATTAAGAAAACACTAACAGCTTCCGCCTCCATCACTTTGCCTTGGGAATGAGAGCTTACATGATTTCGTTCTCCCTCCGGCCTATGTTCAGCTGCAGGGTGTCACAAGGGCCCCGTTTCGGATCCGGGAGCTTTCGGTCCCGAAGGAAGCCTCAGTGGAGAAACAGATTGCGTCTGTGCATGGGAATCCCAGCTAGGTCGAAAGAGTGATGCGTCTGAGGTCTGAGGTCTGTGCCGAACTTACAGCCCAAGAACTGGGAAGGGCGCGATTGCGTCAGTCAAATTTCATTCAACATGGGACTCCAAAAGCCATCATAACAACTTAATAGGGTGGGATTGGGCATAGGGGACGCGTTTTTGAGACTCCAATGCCCGTCGCTTTCAGCTTTTGTGGTTGCAAGAGGCTAGGAACACACATGCGCTTTTTGGGGTGGCCTATACATTGCACCCCTATACATTGCGTGCTCCAACCGTGCTGGAACGCCTCAAACACCCCAGGTACCCTGCTGGTGTGCGATGAGCTTCACCGGCACCGGTCGCCACCGTCCGTTCCGCCTCGCCAACGCAACGTCTCCAGGCAACGGCGGAAGCTGGGAATCCCCAAGTCCGCCAAAGTCTTCGTGCGGTGATCCATCTCAGCTGAGGGTGCCAAAGAGGGTTGCATCTCCTCTGCTTGCTCCTGAAGTAGAGAAAGTGGATAGGCTCAGGCGTTTGATGGGTCCAAAAGCATTTGTTGGTTGCTCAATGCTGCTAGGTTGGGCTGTCTGTTCTCGTTCCACCAGTGAATTCCAAGCAAGAAACAAACTTAATCCACACCGACACCTCCAGGTCGAGCAGTGCATCAGGGACAAGGCTGGTGCGCACGGGACTCCTCTGGCCCTTCTGATGCAACTCCTCCAATTCGACTGGTGAAAGAAGAACAATCCCAAATAGTCTGGCCAGCAAGAGTTGCTACGTATCCTAATACATTGCAACAACAAGTTGCCTATGGGTTGGGTCTATCCTATTACCAGTAACAGTGGATGATGATGGTCAGTAAAGGCCTTGTTCAAAAATAGTGACTGTTACAGGCAATAGGACAGGCCCAACCTATGGGACTCAGTCCACTACTTTGCCTAAGCAATTTGTCTGGCCACGAAAATGTGAACCCTTTGATACCCTCCGAGGTTCTTTAGCTTTCGAGGTCTAAAGCGGCCATAGGAAATTAGTTGCACGCCCCAATCAGCACAGATCCGAAGTGGCAAATTACGAACAATAAAGCAAAAGGACATGAAAAAAAGAACATACAGGATGCAATCCATGTCAAGCATACCGCAAAAAGCTCTCAAGATGTTTATTTTGCTCAGGTGGTTCGGGCCATCACGGCCAGTTCACAGCCCCAAATGCTGAAGTCCTTGGCCGCTTTGAGTGTCATCTCTTCGAGTTCCAACGGGCCATACTCGAAGGTCTTCCTCTTCCGATAGTACCAGCGGATGACAGGCACCTGAAGCGATTGGCGTTCAACGCTTGAACATGTACTAATCAAACGTGCGAGTGGGTGAAGGTGTCCACCCTTTAAGTTCTGAGAGGCTCAAATAAAATCCACCAAAACTCTATATAGCGGTTGCAAATGGCTCTGGTGACATTGTCTTATTTAGGCTACATTGGGAATGAGTATATATAGAAATGTATAGAGACACTCTTCTTCCAGAGATTCTAATAATAGCAACTCCTTCAGCGGGAGGCAGGGACCAAGCCCAGCACTGCCACTGCGCAGGTGCCTACAGCCAAGAGCCCAAGCCAGAAGCTGCTCGTGAGCCTGGCTCAACTAGCTGGGCATCCATCTCCTTTGCTCCCCATCTGGTGGTCAACTCAAGGAAAAAGCCTAGTCTTTGTCTCAGTGATTCTTTGAGAGGTTTCAGGAGGTATTAGGCATTTACTGCTTTTGTGGACAGAGATTAATTGACTAGGACTAGGAGGAATTGCTATGAGAACCGATCCAGCTTGGTAAAGCCCCTGTGAGTCTTGTTGGAGGGTGTCATGTTGCGATACCCTGGATCACTAAGTCAAGTTCTGCTTGACACACTTGCTTGCTTGGAGTGCTTCAAGGAAATCTGATGTTGAGCAACCTCGCCGCGCTCTGTTCTCAGCCCACCTTGATGATCCCTTCTCTCCTCACAAAGGCGGAATGAGAAACATCATGAACAAATGGTTGTGTATGTGTACAGTTGCAGAATGGATCAGAATGGTGCAAATGAATAGATTTCAAGTCAAGGGACACAGCACTACAGAAAAAAAAAAAAAAAAACGCACAAAACAACTTTCGCACAGCCCCCAATCTTAGGAGCAACGGCAAGGGTGCCTGCCTGGCCATTCAACTGTTTGTTGTTCCCTACGGGCGTCCTGATCCAGCCAATTTCGATTCAACTGCCATCTCTCTTTGGAGCACTCTCTACGCAGGTGAACTACAGCAATGAGCAAATGTAGGCTTGCTGATGCTTAGGCTTGAGTCCTTCTGTCTTCCCTCCAAAGCACTCTTATGGCAGTTCACTGCCCTCGTATTGGCAAATGTATGAGAAGGTGATGTTTTGGCGATCATTGCTACGAGTATCACAGCCCAGCAAAGACCTGTTCATCTTTCCTCGGTAAGTGGTCAGAGTGAAAACAACATGATCTATTCAAATGGAAGCGAAGGCCTCCACTTGAGCCAGCAAGCTACAGGAGCTGTTTGGAACAAACCCTGGCCAGCCTGGCCTTCGGTCAAAGCTTGAATCACCTCAAATCACCGGAAAACTGATGCCAAACCGCAGCTGGGAACGCCTGTGCATGGGACGAGATGGGCAACGCTGTGGTCTGCAGGTAGCGAGACAGCTCTTGAAGGTCCTTCTCAGGCAAATGCCTTGGCACAGCTTTCAAGGTTGCAAGGCTGCTGGATTGACTCCAATGCTCGTGATCAAGATGAATGGTGTCAAGACTTTCAAGATGGATTCTCCTCTTGTTCAATCCAGCCCACTGGTCTGAATCTCGACATGGAGCACCAGCCACTTCCAGCGTTAGCGATGGCCCGCCAGGCATCCAGACCACCCCGCGGCGTCGGCATCAATGTCCTGAAGAACAGCAACTGGCAAAGCTTAGAGTCCGACATGTGAGTACGCAAAACCAAAAACTATAAAGACCTGTGCTGGTTTAGCTGTGTTGCTCGGGCTATGGGGTTCCTTCGAGACACCCGCGCAGTAAAAACGGTAAAAATCAATGTTGTGTTAACCTGTTTTTCCCTTGCGATTTGCCATGTTCTCAAAAAACAACAACATGCGCGGTAAAAACGATAAAAATCAAACTTGTCTCTTTTACCGTTTTCTCTGCGCGGGCGCGAGCGGGTACCCCTTAGCAGAACAACGCACGCGAACGCACCGAACCGGCTTGGGCTTGTGGGGTTAGAGGAACCTATTGAATCCTATTGGGATGGTTACGATATAGATTCTGTCCAATCCGCACCCTTGCCATGCCCCCTTTTGGGGGGGGTTCTTTACAGCCACACCATTTTCCACCCCTGCCCCTCCACCCCGGCCTTTGCATTCTGCTCCTCATCTGGGGTCTCCTCCTCCAAGATTGGGTGCGTAAAAACAATTGTGTTTCGGCCCTGATGTACACCATCCAGTAGTCAAGCAGCATGTCAGTTGAATGAGTCCTCCAACCGCATGTCCCCACAAGAGCACAAGGATATTATGCAAATTTGGCATTCCCGACGGTCTGGCGTGATCTGACACACTGAAGGAACTTCATCCATGGCATCGATGCTGGAAGTGAGGACGAACTTGGTGAGTGCATGCAATGGTGGGGAACAAGCCTCGACGACGACCTGCTAGCCTTACGAGTCACTACTCACTACTCTTCACAAGGTCTTGTGATATGTTGTCAGTAGCTTCGTCACTCCTCCTGCCACGATGCCCATCCACGACTCAGTTGGGCAAGACGAGCCTGGCAGGCAGACGGAAAGCAAATCGGCCTGCGACCTCTACGAGCTGGGAAAGTCAGCCGAAACATCTTTATCGTGGATCTTCATCGCCAAACACAGGGCCTCCACATCATCGTCGCCAAACAAATCCGCAGCTGTCTGGCTCATGCTGGCAGCGCAGTCTACACCTACCCAAGAAATAACATAAGCGATGAGGAAGGCCAAAACCATCCAATTCAAAGGCAGTGTGGCCCAACCCCAAGCAACCTTTCTGGAAGTGATCAGCCTTAAACTTTCACTACAGAAAGGGCCACTGTGGCCAAGGAAGACTTCCGGCTTCAACGGAGCAGGGCACCTTGGCTTCTGCCCAAGCTGGGTCCCTGCTCAGATGGGGCGCTCTCCTAGCACAGGGGTTTTGTCACCGGTCTGAGATGGTCTAAGAGTCCAATGTAGCCAGAACTTGAGGCCAGAGGGGGTGAACGAAAGCTAGCCGGGCTTCCGGTGGTCTGCTGCTGGTGCTGCTGCTGCTGGTGCTGCTGCTGCCGCTGCTGCGCTGGGCGCTGCTGCGCTGGGTGCTCTGCAGGCACCGGGTCGTCTGCTGCTGCTGCTGCTGCTGCTGCTGC